CCTCGGAGCCGCGGGCGGTTCGCTGGGCACGCTTATCTATTCACTCTTCAGTGCGCCTCGAACCGTTTTATAATGCTGTTTGGCGTGGCTGGGTAAGAGCTGTCCTCAAGACATGAGTAACACCGAGTGATAAAAGCTTCTCATAGGCAACCCTTGTTGAAAACACCCTTTTCTGCCGTAGGTTTCCTCAGCTTTCTTCAAGCTTCCTTTGCAGTTTCGGGGAGCTCTGTAAGCTCTCCTGCTTATGGCTGTTGAAAGGTAGCAGTCCGTGTCCTTTCAAAGTTACAGGAGCTGCTAGAGAAGGTTATTGGCGTGTTTTGCTGTTCCTGGCTTTGGAAACTTGTGTCGCCCAGTGTCAGATGCAGCATTGTTGTTTGGGTACAAAACAGTATGTAAATGTATTTCCTGCAGTGTTCTTCAGAAGGTCCATTCATAGAAACTCTACTCTTGTCCACAACATTAATTTGGGTTGGTTTGGGGGTTTTTTTTTGGTTGTTTTTTGGGGGTTTTTTGGTTTTTTTTTTTAACTTTAAAGGGGGTCATGTAATGGTACTTTGATGCCCTTCCCGGCAAGGTTGAGCGCCTCTCTAATGTCGCCTTACAGTTGAAGCCTTAACCCTGGTCTTTTTATTCCGAACATTGAAGCCAGCTGTGAGCTATGATTTGCAAGGATTTGGGTGGCCTCGTGTTCTCTGTTCGTCAGCAAACTGCAGCAGGAAAAGGCTCTTTTAAGAGCTTTTGTGCACTGTCCCAGATCAGGAGAATCAGTGACAGTGTTAGTATTTGTTTATCTCATTTTAGATGTTCTCCTGAGAAACAAGGAGGAGAAAATGATCTGATTTTTACTTCTTGCGTACTCTAATCACTTTTTAGTCTACCGTTTCAGTCAAGTTTGGCAGGTATGTAGGAGCCTCAAAGACGTGGTGTTACGAGCTGTGAGAAGTAAGTAAATGGCTGGAGGAGAAGGCCTGAGGCTAGTGGCTCATCGAAAGAGAGCAGAAGTTGGGCACTGTATCTTCTGCTGAGGAGCTGTTCTCTGGTCGGTCAGCGTTCGTGTCATTCCCCTCGGACCCCCTAACGTGCTTGCTCTTGGTGGTGTGAAGGATGCGTGGAGCCAGAGTTACTGCTCAGGAAGCAGCTCAGGCCTTGCAGAGCAAAGGTGCTCCCCTTCAGTCCTCTGCCTGGTACGTGCACCGGGCTGCAAGACTTGCACTGACGAACCTCACTGTGGTTTGCAGCATGGGCTCATCGGTGGTGCTCGAGATTGAGTTTGAGATTAAAAGCTTTTTCCTGTGACGTTCCACTGATAGGAGAAAATAGACAAAAGAAGTTTTGAATGTACTGTAGCAAAGCGAGGAGCTTTTGTGGTGAGGACACTGAGTATGATCCTGAGCGAGAAGAGTAGTGATTAGTCTCCCTCGGGATGGTCCCTTTGAGAAAGTTGTACTCTGTGAGAGCACGGAAACGAGTGAGTAGAAGAGTCAGTGATAGTTTAGCTTATTACCGGCATCCTGCTGATTTTTTTGGAGACATGTTTCTTACAGGTGTGAGTAACCATCACTCTGATTTAAAGACGTTATTCCCCTGTGATCTACTGCATTTAAGTAGCTAATCTGAAAAAGAGATTTTCATGTCCACTAATCAATTGATTAGTGGACAAAGTGCTGGCCAAATCCATAAGTGGTCTTGTGTTATGCTCTAAAAGTGGCCAGGTCTTGCTCATCTTTTGAGAAACAATACCTGTAAGTTCGGCACGACCAATCCGTAGGTATTTAAGCTTCACGATTTGGACTCACAAGTAGAGCAGTTCTGACCACTGTGCCTGGTGCTGGGAGACAAGACACTCACGTGTTAGAGTCCCTCAGCACCTGCAGTCTTCACATTTTCTGTGAACAGTATTGAACCTTTGCTTTGGAGTTAGCTGTGAGTGAAGGGTGTGTGACTGCTCTGGTTATAAATTCCTCCTATTCCATAAATGTATGTTAAAAAAATCTCCATAGTTAGCAATCTGGTGGTCAGTTTTGTGTTAATCTCCCTCTGGGGACCAAATGTGTAAATTTCTTGTACTGGAGGTATATAAAATATTTTGTTTGCTTGGTGTTTGGTTTGCTTTGGAGTTAGCTGTGAGTGAAGGGTGTGTGACTGCTCTGGTTATAAATTCCTCCTATTCCATAAATGTATGTTAAAAAAATCTCCATAGTTAGCAATCTGGTGGTCAGTTTTGTGTTAATCTCCCTCTGGGGACCAAATGTGTAAATTTCTTGTACTGGAGGTATATAAAATATTTTGTTTGCTTGGTGTTTGGTTTTGGTGGTGTGGTTTTTTTTTTTTTTTTTTAATTGTACCTTGTATCTAAGTGCCTAAGGGCAGGAATTTGAACAGACAGGAGAAGATACTTTACCTGTATTATGATATGCCTTTTAACTATATATGTCTTTTTGTTCATGTGCTGTACAAACAATATTAAAATAATGTCAAGTTTCATTGTAAAAAAAAATTTTTGGGAAACTCTTTGTTTATGAGATGAGGTTTAGAATGTTTTGTGAAACCATTCTGAGAAAGATTGGTCTAAGAGACTGGAGTGCGAGCTCGCAGACCTTACATTTCTTCCTTTTCCACTAGCCTCACTAAAATAAACAGACTTGAAGAAATAAGAAATACAGTAACTTTCTGTTAATGTTCCCCTTTCAGCCTCTTGGAAAGACACGCCTGAAACCAAGACATGACTAGTTTAAGATGAAATACTGGACTTGCTATGGCTCTTGGTTATACCCATCTTACGGGGGTGGTACATTTTTGTGTGCTAGTGTGGTACAGAGGAGGTTGTCAGGCTCCTGTGACGGACCTGACAGGTGGAACAAATGGAAAAATACGCCTATTAGCATGACGAAATTAATTTATGTCTCAAGGCAGATGGTACAGGAGGTAGTGTTGTCTGGTGGTTTTCTGTAAAAGATACTTATTACCCAGTTGGCAAGGGGGGGAAAAATACACCTGTCACTTCTCAGGAAATATCTTTTCTTCCAAGTGTCTGTTACATTTGGAAATAGTGACCTGTTTTTTTGATTAAACTTATTATTGAACATTGGTTTTAAGTGAAAATTGTTATTGGTGCCAGAGGGCTGGGTGGCATATTAGTGGCTTATTGGCAGAAATGGTGTGATACGACACCTGGCTGCCTTCTAGTGGATACGTTTTATTGCCGGGACTATGTCAAAGCAGGCTCTGGTTATGTTCCTGAGACGTCTGCTTTTGAGAACATCAATGTAAACATTTTAGATAATACGGGAGTGGCTTTTTGAAGATAATATCTTCATAGATATCGTTGCAAGTGTGTGTTTTATGGTATTATTCAGCACAGAAAATGAAGCAACACATGGTAAGAACGTCTCCTGTATTTAAGGAAAACAAAGCTTTTGGTATAAAGGCTCAAAAATAGTTGGATATTTCTTCTTTTTTTTTTTTTTTTCTTTTTTCAGTTTCTTTTTCTACCCCACCCCCCAAATGTGGCACTCCTTGTGCTGGCCAGGGGTAGGAATGTGTGTGCGTGTCTTAATGTTCCTCCCACCCCAGTCATTTCACTCCCTGTCCCCAGCTACTTCACTCAGGCCATAGTGGCACATGTTCTCAAAATAACTGTTCCTGTTTTTATGTTTCCTTGGGAGATGCCATCTTTTCTTCCTTTGTTAGTTTTAAATCACAGGAATTAAATTGTAAACAAAATGACAGTTACTATTCTGAGATCCTACTGATATAGGAGGATAACAATCAGAGAAAAGATGATAATAGGGGAGGGATGAGAGAAAGGAATGTGTATTTCCATAAATAAGGGGTTGTGTGAGCACCAGGATCAATAACACCCAGTTTTTGATTGCTTCAGGTCTCTTAGCTACCATCTGCGTAAGTTTGTTGAATAGCCAAACTGAAAGAAAAGATTCCCTTTTAAATTTGTGTTGCTTGTAACATCTCCCAAGTCTCTAATGCCCTTTAGGATTTGAGTTCCTGCTTCTGTGGAGTAGTCTACCTGCATGGCAATACAAAACACTAACCAGAATAATAACATTGTTTTAAAGTGGATGTTTGCTTGTGTTAGGTAGATGACCAGAAAATTTCCTTTATTTTTTTATTGCTATAAAGATGTACTAACTTTCAGAACTTCCGTAAAGTCAGTAGGAACTTTTTTCCAAATACAGTGTGTGGAAGTGTCAGTAGTGTGGTCTTTTTTTAGGATAGACTTGAAAAATAATGGTCGTATAAATGGTGGTGGTGACATGCAAGTTTGGCTCTTTCACACTAATTGGCCATAAATTAAGCCCTCTACACTGTTTCCCAGGGTAGATTCTACGGGACTTTTTTTAGCATAAAAATGTCTCTCTGCTCTTTAAGACTTTTTCTGTGGCTGTTCTGTGGTAAAAATAGTCTTTTTTTTAATTGAACTATCTCTTTCAATGTTTTCTCCTCAGGTACAATTGAAATGTTTAGTTTAACATCTTTGCATGGCTTAGCGTATTTTCCTTGAATTTTTCTCTGGTTTCAAAAATTGCTCTGTCATGACACAGTATCTTTTATGAATAGTGGTGCAATAGGAACAACAGCTACTGTTTGCTGTGGTTCTCCGGTAATCTAGATGATGTCATTCTTTGCTCATGCATAACATGGGATGAAGTATCACATGATACTTTAAGTTTTTATTTCATGAAGGTGATGAGCTTTTTCTTCGTGGCGTTGTTATTCTTACTAATTTCAGAGTGTGATTTGCCTGAGAACTTTGTTTATGGCAGGAAATCATAAAGTCAGTCTATAGGTAGTCTCTGTGAACAATCTCTGGTGATTTAAATTGGCCACCACCATTCACATTACACTTAGAAATAAGAAAAAATGGGAGCTTACCCATTGCTGCTATTGAATATGCTGCGAGCTGCCTGGAAGATGGTGACAACGATTAAGTTAAGGGGCTGGATTTTCAATTTTTTTATACTGAATAATCTTAAGGATGATAACCTTGTTTTGAATGTAGCACCAATTTGGTGCAGTTGCCAAACACAAATTGTTTAACAGATTTGTGGACTGTGTTGATCCTGAACTTTGATATTTGCTGGGTGGGTTGTTGGACCGTGTATGTGCTCACACTTGTTTTTGAGCATACTGATGGACTAAATTGTGCATCAGAAGACTGGGTGCCGGCTGGTGTTCGAATTAGTAATATGCACTTCAGAGCCTGTGCTGTGGCACTTCACTCCTGGATGCATGTGTAAAAGCTGGGCTGTTTTCAGGGTTACAGTACTTTACACGTATTTCGACCGTGTCATTGAAGAAACTGTCATTTAAATCCTGAACTGGAAAATGGCAATGTTTTGTGCTTTGGTGTATGTGTTAGGAGTACTACTGCTAACAGATGTGGGTGCTGCTTATGCCCATTGCTTTTAGCCTTTTCTCTGTTGAGCACTGGACAAATATATGGTAGACCTGATATGGCTACACACAGACTTGCACTGGACAAATATATGGTAGACCTGATACGGCTACACACAGTTTAGATTAAATATGAAATCTGTTAGGTTACCAAGTGCAATCCTTAATATTTTTCTTTAAAAAATATAAATTAGGAAAAAACATGTTTTTCATTTAACTCCCTCAATCAAAAATGACATAATAAAGGAGAGTAGTGGGTTTTTTTAGTTATGCCACTGCCTTGGTTTGCACAGTTCTGTATAGCTAGATTAATACAAGCTTAGTAGAAATTTTCATTTAGAGACTTTCAAAAGTGAATGCTTCCAAACTTCTTGCTGAATTTAGAACAGCTGTTCTTCCTTAGATTTCATGTGAAATTTGAGGTGTTAAAATTGTTTTAGGAATTGTTCTAATTGGAGCGGTTTTTTTAGTAATGGTATGTTTCCATGCTGACCTTCCCTTGAAAAAATGAAGGAAAATTATCTTCTAGGCTTTTATTTAGCATTTAAAGGTCTAATCTGAAAAAGTGTGGGGTTTTTTTGTTGTGGTTTTTGGTGGTTTTTTTTTTTTTGTGAAGGTAAGTAAAAATTGTATGTAGTTTCTGGGGTGAGGCTAGTAATAAAAGTTTATCATTAACCAGGGTATGACTGCAAAGTTGTCTCTTCAGCTGCTTTAATTTTTTAAGTACTTGAGATGAAGAAAACTCCTCAGGATTGAGAGAACTTTGTGTAAGTAACATAAAGCCAAGTGACTTTGGAAGTTCATGAAATTAAGGGAGGATTTCTAACTACTTAAATGACTGCAATAACATTTGGTAGTTAACAGAAAAATAAAAGGAAAGCTGGTGTGGTAAGGACACGATCATTGTCCCCACTAGATTTTTTTTTTTTTTTTTAATACGAGGAAGAGTAATGAGAGCTTGGCAATAAACTCAGATTCTTATTAAGTGGTACCTGAGTAGTTTGTTTCCCTAAATTTTAAACTTTAGTAAGGCAAGTAAGGGTGACTTGCAGTCATCTAATGAGCCAACGGTTTCATATTTTACATCGAAGAAATGTCATGTGTACCCTCATGAATGTCTCGCTATTACCTATATGTTGCTGTAAAAGCTGTAAAGTGTTAATCAGAAGCATTAGCCAATGGATCACCTATCCTTGTTTAGGGAATGGAGTTAGATTATACCTGTTTTTGGAAAGCCATTATATATCTGATGGCTGATAATGTTTGCTAGCTTGCCTTAGATTTTAGTGCTCAGAGTTTTGAATTCACTAGATGGCTGTTTTCAACAGTAGTAATCTGAGAGCTATTTATCAGTAAATATAAAAAATATAACCTAATACCTGCAATTCAATTCCAACCTTGCTGTTTAATTTCCTTGAATGCTTATAAATACTTCCTCAGTCAATGCGATTTGCCAAAAGTCAGTATTTTATCTTAGTATCTTAAATGATAAACAGTGCATGGAACTTACACTGTTGTTTTCCATTTGGAAAACAAAGGAATGAACCTTATCCTGCTACAAGTTAAACATATATATAGTAGTGATCCAAGTTACTGTCTTAGGCTTCCTGCCAACTTCTAGTAAATCCTCTTGAGAAGCTGTCTTTCTTGTCATGGTCTCTGTGATGATTGTCTTTTGGTGAAATGGGTGGGAGAAGCTGGGTTGTGGGGAGAGCTGAAGTGAGAGAGCAGTCAAGGAGCGTGTGAGACTCAGATGCGCTTGCTGTGGTGCTGCCTGTCTGGCGGTGCTTTCCCTACAACCCGGCGTGATGCAGAGGGGAGAGGGACTGCTGGAAAGGGTGTTGTCACCAGCTTGGCTGGTCCTCCTACTAGCCAAAGATCGGTTTAGCAGGCAAAGACGTTGCCCGCCTCTCCTGTGCACAGAGGAGCAGGGTGAAGCATTCATGGTCAGTGCTGCTTTCCACTTCTTGTCACCATGAACACATGCACGATGAAGGAGTAGAGAAATGGTGTTTTCTTAATGTATGCAAAAAATAAGGAATTTGGTAGTGAAATGCCCAAGAAAGCTGTATCTCTGACTGAGCATTGGAATTACTGGGTGTGTGGCTTATTCGTTATGTTTTGGATTTTTTTTTTTTAAATGAAATGGGCAGTGGTATCAGGATGACAACTTGCATGCAGAATTGCAAGAAAATGTTACTTTCCGAGTGAATATCTACTCTTAGGGTAGTAAATGGGAGTATTGTTGTTGGCCTCTCTTAAGGTTAGAAATTGTTTTCCTGTATATCTTGCGAAGGAATATAAGGAACAAAATAGTTCAGTAGAAAAAGGATGTAGCTGTAAGAATGCATGCTTACATCAGAATAACAGATGAGTCACCATTGAAATGCCACATTTATAGAAAAGGAGAATTTGCTTTTTTGATTAGGCAGTTCCTTTCTCCTCCTTTCACAGTTTAAAGGGAAAGTTTCCTTTTTGTTTAGATTTTAATGACCTCATTCCTTTATATGAAATCCTTGTAAATGAAAGCCTTGTTTTCTTCTGGAGTTGCGTTTAACAGAACACATTCATAAAGAGGAATAATTGCGCTTAGCTTGCAAATTAAAGACCAGTAGTTTATAGGAAACAAATATCATGTAAAAGAGCTTCCATGAACTAATTGTTTCTGTAGTACAAGCAACCAAAGTTTACTACTGAAAAGTTATTAATTTTTTTTTTTAAATACCATTGTCCAAGGCTAAAGTCATTCTTTCTTCTGTAGTTGTGTGATATTATCAGGTGGTCTTCTTGCAATCAGCTTTGTTGTCTTGATTAATGAATGGGTTTCTTGAGATGTGAAATTTAAAGAGAAGACGTGTTGCTAATAATTCTTGACCTTTATCCTCTTAATTCTGGGTGGAATCATCTATCTTTTCTTGACCAAATCAGTTACAATAAAGAGCAAACAGATGAAGTTAAAGTGTGTTTTGCAAGTGTCAGGTTTAGAAAACGTTAGATTTTTTTTTTCTTCTTAAAAAAGAAACTTTTTTCAAATTTTAGACCTAAGTTAAGGCTTAGGAAAGTGATGCATGCTTGCGTTTCCATTATTTTTTTAAAATGAATTGGAAATATGATGTTTTCTGAATTGATCTGCTTGTCAGTTAAATTTAAAGACTGGATTTGCAATTTGCATACAGAAATCATTGCTGGTGTTTGTTTTTTCCAACAGTACCTGCTTGTTTTGATGATACAGAAGCCATTTAGATAGCTAAGACACATTCCATCTTTTCTCTTCCTTTTTTTTTTCTGTCTTTTCCGAAAACAAATGAACCTAAGCCACACTGCAAACTTTCATAAATTAAGTGAAAATGGAAATTTCCCTATCTTACTTGCAAGGATGGAATCACAATTTACTATAGAATATTTAATGAAGTCACTAAAATTGTTTTGTATTGCATTTATTTCATTCTGTAATACTAAATTTGCATGAAGACAACAATTTTCAGCTTTCTGATGTTGTGTAATAACTCCGTTTGTTCCTCTTTTCAGATATTGTGGATGGAAGTGACCTGAAGCAATTTTTTGAGAACAATTATTCTCAAATTTATTTTATATTCTATGAAAACTTCATAACACTGGAAAATAGCTTGAAACAAAAAGGGCAATTGTTGCGTCAGTTTTCCCTAACTGTTCTCAAAAGCATTCTATTTGATCTTATCTAATGATTATATAGTCCACAATTATCTATATTTTCATTAATAGTTTCATACATTATTAATTAGTACTAATATTTTAATTTTATGGTATCAGAAGAGACAAGCATGGAAAATTGCTTTCTGAAATGTCATAAGTAACTGGAAAGAATTCTAAATCCATTTTTATGGCTAAGTGTCATTTCAGCACAAAAATCAGGTCTTGTGTATTTATATACGTATCATCTCATCTTGTTCTGAAGTATTGAAGGCCTTCATCCTACAATTAAGCGTATGTCTGTTCAACTCAAACATTGTCAGAGATCCGCAGAACGAATCTCAGTGTTGAAGATACGTCGGTAGGAATAGCTGTTTGCTTGGAGATGAGCACAATGATGATGCTTTGCAGATCTGGGACTCCAGATGTCCCTCATTCGTAATCAAGAGAGAGAGGCACTGAACTTGGGAAACATCTTGCTCTTTTGATAGTAGATAAAGGTGAAGAAAAATAAACCGAGTGCAACATCTTTGACTTCAGTTGAATAACAACAGTGTAATTTCACCATCTGTCTCACAACCGTATATTTACAGCAAACAATATTGTTTTCTGTCTTGCAGGGAATAAATCACAAAGGGAGGAGCTGGACTCCATTCTCTTTCTTTTCGAAGTAAGTTTTCCATACCATGAAACTAATTTTTATTTTAAATCTCATTGTCATAATATGCTTACTTACACCTTTACAATGAGGGGTGAAACCAGGTATCAATCAAAATGACAGTAGGTGTCCATGGCTATACAAGGTGAAAGGCAGAAAAGAACTAGCGTGTGCATTAAGTTTTCAGATACAACAACAATAAAGATTTTATTATGCAATGGGAATGTTGGTTAAATGAATATCCAGGGTTAAGAGATTTTATCAAAATGACTTGAAAATCATACAGTAATATATATGTCCTAAGGAACTGAGGATCAACTCTTTGAAAAAGTCCTCTTGTTTTTCAGTAGAATTTGGGAGCAAGTGATCAATAGTTGCATAGCCTCTGTTAGGCTAAAGCTGTCAAAAGTCTTTTTCCTTTTTTTAATTAAATATGTTCTTGCTTCTGTATTTTATGGGGGCCTAGTTCAAAACAACAGTACTTTTTCCCTACGCTTTGTCAGTATGAAGTTCAGTGTTATGTTTATTTTGAATGCGTCACAGCAGAAGTTTGGGCTCTGTTCCTTTCAGATGGAGGCATCTATTATGATTGCAGTATTTGGTCTTGCAGCACAAGGAAAGTAAAAGGATAAGAGTTGTCAACTACTGTATATCAGTTTGATCTGAGTGTGTGAAATGTTAATTTGTTTAACTTTTTTATTTTTTTTTTAAATTCAGTGGAGCATCTTTTACTTCCGGAAGCATACCCTTCCCAGCACTGACGGTCATAGCATTTGCAGTGTCTAGGGAGGAGATACTAGCTAGTTAACTTTTGCATAACCAAATTAGGATGTCTTTAATTTAAAGAATAGACTGTGATAAATCATTTTCCAAGGGACCTCTTTAATTAGAGTTATTACCTAAATATATTTGGATGGGAGAAAATATCAGTGGACCAGATGAAAGCCTAACATATAAAAACGTTTTTATAATGCACACCAGAAGTCTTAGTGTAAGCTCTACCTGTCTCTGAAGTCAGAGATCAGTGGTGCCTTTAGTGTGTTTGTTTTTTTGTTTTAAACAATTCATTAGGTAAATAATTGGCCTGATTTCTTTCTTAAGAGTAAATACACGCATCTTCTGTTGATTTCTCTTTGTTAATCCAACTACTAACTTTTCACTTGAGTATTGCATCATAGAAATGTTATCTTTGTTTATATTGTGGGTTATTTTTTGGTAGGGGTGGTAGGAAAAAAACCCCCAACTTTCAATGGGACTCTAGAAATTGAAGTTAAAAGAAAGGTTAAGTGTTCTCAACTCTTATCCCTCTCTCTAAAAATTGAAACAAGACAAAACAAAACAAAAACCTCAGAAGTATATGGCTTCATTTTTTTTGCATTAATGTATAGTTTGTAGGTAGAATAATATTTATATTGACAATAAGAATGATGCTGTTTAGCCTAACATGCCTCTTATATGACAAATGGCCATGAAAATGGTGACATGAAGTCCTGGATTTTTGTGGTCTCATCTTCTGACTTTTATGATGTAGCAAGTTCATCTCCCTTTTCTTCTTCTCCCTCCCTTTGCTTCTTTAACTACAAGACTGCATTTTCAGACTAAAATCTGAAAATCAAATTGTGTTTTCTGCTACTTATGATATTAGTAAAAGAGTCTGCTTTAGGATTTTGCATGAGGCAGTGTCAAAGAACATGAGCTCATATATCTGCTAGGACCGTATTTGGGGCAGGAGAAATTCTTCCTTCTCTCTCCCCACCCCAGCGGAGAAGGTATCACCGCATTTACTGAGCAAGGCTGTGCAACTTAATTGGAGCTCATTAATACACTTACTCTGTGGTCTTGAATAAGTAAGTAAATTTCTGTGGCTATGTCATTGAATGGAAAATAGCTAATGCTTACTCACCCAGTTAAAGTGGGTAAATATGTATTCCTGTGTCTTGAAAACGGGTGGCTAATAAGCGACCGTTTAATACCGCTTAAAAACATCAGGAGAACATACTGGACGAAGAAGAAAAAAAAATACATAGTTATATATGAATGAAGTGTTGCTTTGGGTCCCGATCAAGGAGAATTATATTATAGCCTACTCGTCATCAGCTTTGAGGAGGAAGAAATCGTTTAAGATATTTGTGTGGAATTTGGAGCAATAGCTTCATGGTGTTTATCTCCTGGAAGTAAGTTTGCAATCCATTTATAACTCTTTAACACTTCATAACTTAATGCATTGTAGGAAAACAGCTTTTTAGAGGGCCTTTTAATGCACAGAACAAGAACACATCAGTCTGAACACAGGACAAGAAAAAATGTAAATGCCAAATAATTAAACATTCATATTGTAAGCCATAGGAAACAAAACTAATTGATTGTTAAGCTTGCCATATTTAATCTGATGTCAGCGTGAGCCAGAAGTTTCCTAGAGTTTTCTTCTAACTAGCTAAATAGGTAATTACTTAGGATTGACAAATCCTGAATCCAGGTGCTGAGGGTTAACAGTTTAAAAATCAATAAAAATATTTATGAAAGGAATTGACTTCCGCCTTTTCTGGTATAGTTTGGTGGGTATTTTGCTGCTGTTCTTGAGTGACACCTAGTGTTAAATTAAGCAAAAGTAACAAATGCCGTTTCCACAAATGCTCTGAAAACTAAGTTGACTCAGTTGTAATTTATTGAAGTCTTAATTTTACACATCAGCTACATAGCTTGGCCACTCAACAATAACATCAAACAACATATTAATCAAAGAAGAAATACTAATCAAAAGGGAGTAATATGAAAAGTTAACAGTTCATTTTGTAAAGTGCTTTTTTATAATTAATATTACAAAGTTCTTAGATCTAAATTTATATTCTTAAAGGTGCTTTGGCCTTGTCTTTTTCCAAATAGATATTCATTAAATGATACAGCAACTCTAATTATCTGTATTATTTTTCCCTGTTTCAGCTAAAAGGCCAAATGATGTGAAAAACAAATTTGCTTTTTTTTCTGGTAGGGCGTAGTTATCTCCAGATTTGTAGTATATTTTCAGAACATGTTCATATTGTTTCTTATATCACTGTTCTCTATGATTTGGGGGCATTGTTTGTTATAGCTGTCAGCTGAGCACTGCGTGTCACAGAACTCACGAAAGGTGCACTACATTTATGTAAGGTCCCATAAAAGTATTATGCCATCTTTTGATTGTGAAAGCTTGGAATTTTTTTTATAATAAAGTATTTTTTTCTTGCAGCATCAGACACTGATTCCTCTGACGCTGCATTTTTTTTTTTGCGTCTGTAGTAAAATAAGAGCAGACTGATGGTTTTGATATAATACATAGATCAATTTCTTTCCATTCTCTATAATTATGCTTTATTAGTTAAGAACAGACACATCTCTCGTGCTGATGCGGTCATAAAATTCATTACACTGATTTAACACTTTCACCGTATGAAATAATTTATTCTTAGAGTTTTTCAGATACTTTTTCTAATGTATTAAAGCTTCCCAAAGTCACTTACAGTAGCCACTATTGTTGCTAGAAGTTTTTCAGATACTGTCAGTGTAGTTCAGGGCTCTCTGCAGTTTTGTAGATAGCTGAGAAGACGGGTTAGGTACTCCCACCTCCCACAGACGATACGTATGCTGAAAGCTTCTCAGTATGGATGTTTTTACTTGTTTATTTTTTACCAGTGCACATTAATATAATGTAAGGTGCCCTTGTGTGTTATGGGTCCTTATTTATAAAAGCATACCGTGTTTTTCTTATCGTTTGTACAAAGAGGTTTGTTTATGCTGTACTCTCTTAATTTCTGTAAGTCCATGCTTTGTATGGAACATCTTGTTTCTTGAACTTGGTGAAAATGTGAGCAGTTTGAGTCCCTGGGTCCGGACACAGAGTAAGCGCAATTTTTTTTAAGAATCTACAAAATTATAACTCCAGAAAGGTATCAATGTAATTCATGCTGGCCTTGCTGTGATTATGCTTCTAGGCCCTTTCATCTGTCAAGCCTAGCTTTCCCCCAAATGCCTCTTGCCCTGCTGAAATGAGGAGAGGCGAGCTGTGGTTATAAACAGGAATAGACAGAGCGATCTGTTTTGACCTTCCTTAGAAGTTCAGCAGCAAAATTTTAATGTATCATTTCTAGGTGTGATTTGGAGTATCCTGAGTACGTACACAGCAGGTGGATTTAAATATTAAGTGGATGTAAAAGAGAATATAAATGTGCTAATAGTCTCTGCAGCATTTGTATTATACACACTGAAACTCACGGTCTGCTTTGGCTTTTGTGTAACACTAAGCGTTTTTCCAGAGATGATAATAAACTGTTAGAACATGCCCAACCATACTTTGAGCTCTTTATTTTGTAGCAGTAGCTACTGGTTTTAATACAGTATTGTTGTCCTTAGAAGCACACCTAAATATAAACTACAAATGGCCACATACTCAGAAGATTAAGATGTGGTATAAATCCATTGAAACATGGATTGGTCTGCTATCAGAATGTGAATGTAATGATTACAGAAGCAGCTGTATAGCTTAAATTTATTACTGCAGATGTGCACAAGTTACTTGTTCTGCAAATGCTAATGATAATTCAGTATAGGTTTATAATTGGCTATCATCTGTTAGCAACCCTTTTGAAAAGTAGATTACAGATCACACGCAGTAAATACACTGCATCTGTCACAGGAACACCTGCTGTGGTGGTGGGTGACCAGATAGCTGTATGCACTGACGCAGCTTAGGAATATAAGCTGCTTTTTTAGTACTGCTTAGTAATGCACATAAATATAATTTTTACAATGTATAACTTTGGTTCATTCTGGACTAAGATTGCTGTGGATATTTTAAATATTGAATTCTTCCACCACATTGTAGGTCTACTTTGTATAGACTACTGTGTGAATTAGCAGTATTGGTTAAGCAGCTTAAAACAAATCTCAAAGCCAGTGGTGACTTTCAGCAGGTCATTTTCAATTTCATAAAAACCTGCATCAGTGAAACTTTCAACAGTTTTTGATTCATAACTCTT